GTCCACAGCTACTCATCGCAAGCGTACGAGAGAAATACTGGCCACTGCGAGTACGCAACCTGGCGCGGAAGGTAGTTCATGCTTGTCTAAAGTGCTTTCGCTGCAAACCCACTGCTCTCGAACAGATAATGGGCGATCTACCAGCTGAACGCGTCACACCAACGTTTCCGTTCTTTAACACTGGTGTCGATCTGTGTGGGCCACTCTTCTATCGGCACGCTCCGAGGAAATCGTCTCCTGTCAAGTGCTACGTCGCAATATTTGTGTGCCTTGCGACAAAGGCGGTGCACATCGAGCTTGTAGCGGATCTCTCGACAAATGCGTTCATCACTACCCTGAAACGATTCGTTGCCCGGCGTGGCAGGCCAGCAGTCATCGAATGCGACAACGCTAAGAACTTTGTAGGTGCATCACAAACGCTAGCGGAACTACACGAACAATTCCGCTCGCAGCAGCACAAGCACGCTGTAACCACTTACTGTGGTGAAGAAGGAATCCACTTCAAGTTCATTCCCCCGCGCTCTCCCAATTTTGGCGGACTTTGGGAGGCTGCTGTGAAGTCCTTCAAGAAACATTTTAAAGCTACAATCGGGACAACAGTGCTGCTCAAGGACGACATCGAAACGTTCCTGACGCAGATAGAGAGCTGCCTAAACTCCCGTCCGTTGACTCAGCTGACGTCCGACCCAGAGGATTTGGAAATTCTAACTCCAGGTCATTTTTCTGGTTCATCGTCCACTGGTTTCCATCCCAGAACCATCCTATGAAAAAGTGCCGACAAATCGTCTCGACCGTTACCAGCAAACTCAAGAATTCGTCCGACGCATTTGGAAGCGTTGGAGCATGGACTACCTTTCCGGACTCCACCCCCGCACGAGGTGGACTCGCTTGCGGGATAACATCAGCATCGGGACGATGGTGCTGCTAAAGGACGACAATCTTCCGCCGCTCAAGTGGCGCTGTGGCCGCGTGACCCAGATATTTCGCGGAGATGATGGAAACGTCCAGGTAGTCTCCGTCCGAACCCAAGATGGCGAATACCGGCGCGCAATCACGAAGGTTTGTGTGCTTCCTGTGCAGCAACCAGCATCCGCTGGGACCAACGATCTTCTATCCGAGATGTAACAGCATGCCCAGCGCTGCGGCGCTTATGTGTTGTCCAATATTCTAACAGTTAGCACAAAACTAATGCTTCTTTTCATTCTCGACCGCAATAACACCACCGAGACTGGCTCCACTGGCACCCTGGTCCTCCGATGATCCCTGGCTTCCCAAACCAATGACTGGCCTCGATGCACTTCCAACAAAGGTACGAACACTCCCTTCGAACACTGCAATCATCCCCAAGGATTTCCGTCAGGCTTCACCAGCTTAGTTCCGAAGTCAGCGCCAGGGTACGAAGCCAGCTCAGGATTCCATCGAACGAAGGCCGGTCGGCAATCAGCTGATCGAGGAGTTACCGATGTCCACCGAGTCCTCAATGCGATGGAGACATATCATATGTGTTAATAGTTGTTAGAATTATACAGTTTTGCTCAATCGATCGCCTAGTAGTGTTAGGAAATTAGAAATTGTTTGAAAATTGAACTTTTCAACGGTGGCCGGCTATGTTCAGAATTGAAATAGGCTAAAATTGAATTTACCTTTTAAACCCCATGCACTCTATAACCGTGCAGTACTAGGGTAGGGACATATCTCTATAAATCGCTGTTATCTCTTCTTATCATCGTTCCGAATGATCGGGCGAACGAACGTTCGGATGTTTGTAGAGTTTTACTCGTAGCTATTCTCTGTACACCTCATATAACCAGTACACAAGAGTCAGATCAGTTAGTTGCAAATAAACAAGCAAATCGTATGCATCCACTCCTAAAGGGTGATACGGTCAAAATTTGGTCAATATCAACTTGACGTATTTCTTTCAATTTTGCATTTAAAAAACCTGAACACCCCTCATTTTGAAGGTGTGTGTGTGTAGAATGTTGCTCCTATTTTGATTTTGGAATTCACTCTTCAGTTGTCAAAATGCCGTCCAAGCAAGAAGAGCAGCGTATCAAAATTTTGCTCGCGCATCGCGAAAATCCGAGCTACTTGCACGCAAAGTTGGCAAAATCGCTAAAAGTTGCCAAATCAACCGTTACAAATGTAATTACAGTGTTTGGGGAACGTTTGTCGACAGCCAGGAAGTCTGGATCGGGGGGAAATCGAAAACCGGAAGCCGCTGAGACGACAAAGAGAGTTGCCGGTAGTTTCAAGCGAAACCCTAACCTCTCTCTCCGAGATGCCGCAAATAAGCTGGGTGTATCGTCTACAACCGTGCATCGAGCCAAAAAACGAGCCGGACTATCGACTTACAAGAAGGTAGTGACTCCAAATCGCGATGATAAACAAAATACGACGGCCAAAGCGCGATCCCGGAGGCTGTACACGACGATGCTGACGAAGTTTGACTGCGTGGTAATGGACGACGAAACCTACGTCAAAGCCGACTACAAGCAGCTTCCGGGACAGGAGTTTTATACGGCAAAAGGAAGGGGAAAGGTAGCAGATGTTTTCAAGCACATGAAACTGTCAAAGTTCGCAAAGAAATATCTGGTTTGGCAAGTCATCTGTACCTGTGGCTTGAAAAGCAGCATTTTCATAGCTTCCGGGACTGTCAACCAAGAAATTTACGTGAAAGAGTGTTTGAATAAACGTCTGCTGCCTTTCCTGAAGAAACACGGTTGTTCCGTACTGTTTTGGCCGGATTTGGCATCTTGCCATTACGGTAAAAAGGCCATGGAGTGGTACGCCGCCAACAACGTGCAGGTGGTTCCCAAGGACAAGAACCCTCCCAACACGCCAGAGCTCCGCCCAATTGAGAAATACTGGGCTATTGTCAAGCGGAACCTAAAGAAGACCAAAAAACTGCTAAGGGCGAGCAGCAGTTCAAGGCAAACTGGCTTTCTGTGGCGAAGAAGGTGGACAAGGTGGCTGTACAAAATCTGATGGCAAGGGTCAAACGTAAGGCCCGGCAATTCGGATTTGGAAAAGCGGAAGCCTAACTGAATATTTTTCCTGAATTTTATACTAATTGAACTTGAAAAAGAAATTTAATTTGATTTTTTAAATAAACGATTTCACCGATTTACACGCGTTTTCCCTTGACCAAATTTTGACCGTATCACCCTTTAGTGATACCATGGTTAATCTTGTCGAATGCTGCCGATAGATCAGTATAAATAACGTCTGTTTGAATCCGTAAGACACAGCAAGTTCGTAGTTGTTGAACGGCCGGGTACGAAACCATGTTGGTCATCGCTCAAATACTGTTTACAATGAGCAAATAAAGGCTCCATTACGACCAACTCAAACAATTTCGAAACAGCACACAGAGAAGTGATGCCACGGTAGTTATCGATATTGTGCCTACTGCCTTTTTTGTACACGATAACGACAGCTGGAACAAATCACGAAGTGGTGACAGCAAGCATTCGATATGGTTGGACGGTATTCCGTCTGGCCCCGAATTGTGGGCTGACTTAAGCCGGTAAGCTGCTTTGATGATCATCGTGTTATCTACATCGATTCTTGCAAAGGTCTGTCCGTGTAATGGCGTAATGGTGTCCGGCTCATCAGATAAATTTAGTAGTAAAACTAGTTTAGAGTGCAGTGTTTGCATGTGCAAGATCTCGTCACAATCTGTCAAGTGGTTATCGAGATAACTTCCAAGCAAAACAGTTTGGAATCGACAATTTGTCTTCAATGACTTCATCAGTGTCATTCCCACTAAAGACTTATCAAAAACCTAACCCCCTTAAGTACTCATCCCCTAGGTAAAAATGTCAAGATCACAGGTATAAAAATGAAATTACAATGTGTAGAATCGGAACTTACCTGTCCCGTGTGGTAAAATTGTTCAACGAGCCCCAGACGACCCAGCGGCGAGCTGGTAGCGGAAGAAAAACGAAGACGACCGACCCCGTGAACGCAAGGAAGGTGAGGGAGTACTTCAAGCGCAATACGAACCTTTCGATTCGGGACGTGGCCAAGAAGGTCAATTCTTCTGTCTGGTTCGTCCAGCAGACAATGAAACGAGTCGGGCTTCATGTCTTCGAGGTAAGGAAGGCGCCTCACCGAACCGATAAACAGAATACGGTGGCCAAATCCCGCACCAGGAAGCTGTACCGCGAGTGGTTGGTGCAGCCGAAATGCATCATAAAGGACGTCGAGACGTTTTTCGTCGGCAAGTGCCGCCTGGATGTTCCGGAAGAAGAAACTCGAAAAATTTGCCAAGGTTTACTCAATGTGGCAGGCGATCTGTGGGTGCGGCAAATTCAGCAAGCCGTACATAACGACCGGCACCATCAACGCCCAAATATATAAAGAAGAATGCCAAAAGCGCCTGCTTTCCTTCGTCCGGTCCCACGAAGGTGACACTCTGTTTTGGCCGTATCTGGCATCGTGCCATTACGCGAAACCGGTGATGGAGTGGTACGAAGTCAACGATGTTGTTTTTGTGCCGAAGGATGCAAATCCTTCGCCAGAACTTCGCCGAATAGAAAAAATTCTGGGCGATTATGAAGGGCAAGCTCCGGAAAACAGGGAAGGTCTTCTAAAAACGACAAGAATTTGAAGAAAGAGTAGATGAAAGTCTGTAAGAAAGATGGCGCAATTGTTGCACAGGATTTGATGGGTAGCGTTAAGTCCAAGGTGCGGGCATTTAGCCTAGGAGAGGAGGTTGAATAAACCAACTTTGCAAAAACATAGCTAATATGTGTTTATTTATTCCCTGAGAGTTTCAAAAATATCCGGCTTAAAATGAATTTTTGGTGATCATTTTTGTTTGTTGCCTTTTTTTCGAGTACAGTCTTTAACATGTTACTAGCCTATCTTGCTGACATTTTTCTTGTCGATAATTATTACAACTGGTTAAAACTCTGTTATAGTCTGAACAATCCTTAGCACTAAAAATACATTACATTTCTGATGAGAAAAAAAAATATACCATTTATTTGCAGCCGTCACGCTTCAGTTCGTCAGCCACAGCTTCCTGGACTACCACGATCCGACGATTGAGGACTCGTACCAACAGCAGGCGGTCATCGATGGGGAGGCGGCCCTGCTGGACATTCTCGACACTGCCGGCCAGGTCGAGTTCACCGCGATGCGGGATCAGTACATGCGGTGCGGCGAGGGATTCATCATTTGCTACTCCGTTACCGATCGGCACAGCTTTCAGGAGGCGTCCGAATATCGGAAACTGATCGCCCGGGTTCGACTCACCGAGGACATCCCGTTGGTGCTGGTTGCCAACAAGTTGGATCTGCAGTCTCAACGGAAGGTTGGTGATTGACGCTCTCCCAGGCGAAGTTTTGGGAAATCAACTCTTTTTACTTTCCTTTCGTAGGTTTCGACAGAGGAAGGCAAAACGTTGGCGAAACAGTTTGGATGCCCGTTCTACGAAACATCGGCCGCTCTGCGGCATTACATAGACGAAGCGTTCTTCTCACTGGTCCGTGAGATTCGGAGAAAGGAAGCGCAGAGGGTGAGCGATAAATGTGCTTGAAGATTTCAAAATAATGTAATTTCTATTTATGTCATCTTGGTTCCAGGACCTCAACGGTGGTTCCAGTTCCGAGAAGCTTCACTCCCGACGGCGCAGCCGCTGGTGGCGGTTGCGTTCGATTTTTGCCTTGGTATTCCGACGGCGCCGAAATACGATCGGTAACTAATAGTAATCGAAACTGCACAGACCGTAAGTACACGAGCTACTAAAAAAAATCTACTAAATGCACAAAAGTGTGGCAGCAATCGAAAACCAATGCAGCATTCGAACCCGCTTTGAAAAGGAATTGAAAATTGACTTATCAATAGAGCATCATTCGTGTTGAGAATTTGTGTTCCAAGTCGAAGCTGGGGACACGCCAAGCGACCAAAAATTTATAACTATAACAGTTACAAAATTTCCCCAAAAAAACAAAACTGTGCTAAGGTTCCATGAGAAACCAGGAGTTGTTGAATATTTCGGTTAAGCTTTAGGAAAAGAAAATTAACACATCGAGAATGTAAACAAAAATCCAATGTTGAGGCAGTGTGTATTTAGAATTAAGACTAGTACAGAGACATAAGAAAAGAACATCGAGACCGGGAGAGACCGGAGGTCCACTCGGGCAGTTCCTGTCAGTTTGTTAGATTTCATAGTGTCGTTAATAGCGATGAGATGGTAAGATCGGACTGGAGCAGAGACCGAAGATTGTATCATACAGAGGAAAAGGGTAATTGCCCATGATCATAGCATTTTTACTCGATGTAGTTCACACACACACAAACACGTTGTTAAGAGTTAAGAAGGGTAGGATCAACTGCCCTGAAAAGAGTGCTTTGTTGAGACGTTCATTTTATTATGCTAAAGAGAGGATTTCGTAGAACGATAGTTTACCAAGCTGGACTAATCCAAAAGAAAGGAGGAATGAATAATATATTTAGGAGTTACACTACAAGAATCCACTAATTTCACAACAGTATTTATAAACGCATTTATTTATTTGTTAACAATAACAATCTTTACAATTGACTAATCTGTGATTTCCCAAGGTTCAATCTTCTTTGCTTTGAAGGTAGTCCCTCCGCAAGGTACTACAGTTGCCGTTAGATCTCTTAGTTCGTTTCATTTTACAACCTAGTTCTGGATTGTTTCAAGTTGAGTTACCAAACGTAAGAAACACAAACGCATAAAGGCAGCATTTGCATTCAGTATTGACGTAGGCATATAATCCAAACAATTGCGTATTCAAACAGGGTTCCAACATTGAAGCGTAGATTTATTACCAAATATTAAACAACCGATACTAAAGATAGAAACACAATGTATGGATTACTGCTCGCTTCCACGTGATAGCAACTAGGAAAAGGATGATAAGGAAGCGTATGTTTTCTACACACAAAAAAATAAAACAACAAAAATCAAAAACACAAACAGCTCCGCTGTTTTGTGGTTCCCTTATATCAGAACAAAAAAATCGGATCAACTAGAAACGTTAGCTTTGTATAGTGTATAATATAGTTCCTAGCGCAACTTTTACTAGGAGTTGTTATGCTGAAATGCTGTCTATGTTTATCGTAGAGGACCTACGGAGAGCTGTTTATAAAGAACAATATTTCCGCTATTTGTATAACAGTCTCATGACCTATGGGATTCCTATTTACATGGAACTATTATGCGAAAAGCGGCAGAATAGCTTCCAACTGTGGTGCGTTCGCTATGTGCTGTATAGTTTAGTTTTTGATTTGGGATGTTTCACTAGTTTTGGAAGAGTGCGTTTTTGGGTTGGAAGTGACCGTTCTAATTTATTAGCCAGATCTTCACTTGATTTTCCGGTTGGAGGGCTGCCCCAGAAGAAGTTTGGAGAAGAACATTTTTGGAAGCAATTGGAAAAAAGATATCTTCTGCTGGTGGTAGTTTCCGGGGAAAATAGAAGAAACTTCCTAGCAACGTCAAAAGAAGACGGAATACGATTCCAGTGGAAGCCACAGTTCTTCATGTATCGTTTAACCACAGACCAGCAGACGTAACTCTTTAAATAAATTTCCCTTAAACATATCGTCACGGAACTCACTAACGACATCGCACGAGTTATTCGCGGAAAAAAGCTGCTTGCCAAGCCACAAACAATGTTGCATACAAGTTCGACAGAATGCATCGAAACGTCAAAGTGATCCGATGTCAGTGCTGTGGTGGGGGACTCGCGCAACTAGTAAATTGAAAGTTAAGAGTTACGTATGTTTGTCTGTGGTTCAAGAGAAAGTTAAAAAAAAATCTGATACAGCTATCTGATCACAAGATTTCTAAATTTTCTAATTCTCGGGAAATCCCGAGAAGAACCATGAACTGTTACCATATTTCCGGGTCGCCAAAGACGGCCGGAAAATGGAAACACCACTGCCAATGGCCTAGCTTCGAATTTTTTTGAAATATGTTTATGTGTTTATTTGTTATGTGTGCATCAACAGGCTAGAAATATTCCCAATGATGTGTTGTAAAAGAGAAGTACAGACTACATATACTACAGTTACACACGAAAATAACAAGGAAAGCATTGTCAAGTTACTAAAAATTTTACACTTAGCTGTTGGGCGTTAAGCGCCTTCGGTCAGCAAAAAAAGGCAGAGAATCTTCGGCCAAGCACATTCCGTGTCAAGTGGAAATCGAACATTGCCGTTACTCGGTTGAACATTCGCTGCAAGCCGTAAATAGCGCTCCCTAAGCTATAATTAGTTCGAAGAAGTGGAAGTCTTAGCATAAGACTGTTGCGTAGTGATCGAGGTTAAACATTATTGTTCACTTGTTGCAGAATTGCTTCGCTTGCAGTCGATTCTTCCTTGCAGAGTATCGGCGACGGTTAAGGATCTGAAAACATCACTTCGGATACGTAAGGGCTCGACATAAACGAGACCGGATTTTCCAACTAGAACCGTCTGATCAGAGCTGTGCACGCTATTTCAAAACTACCCAAATTTGGGTGGAATCCACCCAAATCGGTCAAAACTGAACCTACCCAAAAATGGGTAAACTGTGTTTGAAGTGACAAGTTGACAAATGAAGAACATCGACATGAATCCGATCGACATGAATCCGATCGACATTGTCCATTTGTCAACTTTTTTTTTTTTAATGCGTTTATTTTTCCAGGCTCATTTGCCGTAGCTTTGCGGAGCCGATATTCATTGTTTAGGTTACAAAATTTCTTAAAACTAACGTTAGTAAAGCGGGGGCCGATTACTCGCGGCTATCTCGAGGTTAGGGGTAACAAATTGTAACAAATGGATGGCAGGGTAGGGATTGAGAACACAAGGTTTGGAGAGCAATGTGCTCTTGATCTCGAACTAAGCGACCAACTGATGAAAAAGACAAACATGGGGGTACACCGATGGGCAGCTAACAACTTGGGGGAACACAAGATGACACTAACTACTAAATCCTCAGAGCTATCCGTTTTAAAAACACATAAATTAAATTGCAATAGTCGAGATCTCGGCTCGCCAAGATGTCTCTAATGGACCGCATGGGTTATTTTCCTCGGGCCCTGAGGGATGCGGATAACTCGGATCTAGCAACACAATGGAGGGTGCATGACCAAAGCACGTGGTCGATATCGTGATAGCCACTACCACAAGCGCACAAATTGCTGCCTGCGAGCCCGATTCGGAAGAAATGCGAGTCTAACGACTAGTGATTGGACATGAGCCTTGATATGACACGTATAAAGTCACGAGTCATGTCCAATCCTTTGAACCATGGCTTGTTCGATACCTGTGGGAGAATAGAATGTACCCAGACAACCAGAATGCACGTATATTCAATGTTGTTTTCGTGATATACAAACATATATACAAACAAACAACTCGTATACAATGCAAAGAAATGGCTTATACGTACAAAAGTGGAGGCCATATACGTGCATATTTTCGTTTAAGTTTAAACGAGATAATTTAACATCATATACGATTTAATCTGTAATAACAAATTCATTTTTAAAAGTCTTACGATGCTATCCGATTTAATTATGATACAGTACGACGGAAAACTGAGCCATCGCATATAAGTCGGAAATTTGCATTCTATACGATTTAACTTAAACATAATGCGAGGTATGCAATTCTTATATGCGATTTTGACTTAACCTGTAGCAATTTACGATACTGTCTGTACATTGTTATACGACTTCTGGTTGTCTGGGTAACCATCTTCCCAGATCACTCTCATTCCATTTTTGTTGCCAGTTGGTGAGGACGTGCTGACGGGTAATTGAGAAAAATTCCGCAAAGGCGATTTGTCGATCAAAAATATCGCCTTCCATAGCGCCCACCTTAGCTAGGCGAGTCCGCTTTCTCATTACCCGGAATTGAGCAATGAGATGGGACCCAAACTAAGGTGATAGTATAGGAGCAGTTAGATAAAGTACTCAATTTAGCTCGGATTTCGGTCAGAAAATACGAGGAGTGCTTCATTGATCGAATAGCCTCCAACGAGCTAAGGCTATCAGTGAAAATAAAATAGTGATCAGATGGTAGTGAGGCAATTTGCTCTACTGCGTAAAATATGGCTGCTAGTTCCGCAACGTATACGGAACAGGGTTTTTGCAGTTGATATGAGGCGCTATGAAATTCGTTGAATACTCCAAATCCAGTGAAAGCGTTTATAGTTAACCCATCTGTGAAAAAACTCTTATTGTTACTGACATGGTGGTACTTGTTTGCAAAAATTAAGGGAACAACCATCGACCGATGGTAATCTGGTATTCCATGGATTTCTTGCAACATGGTAAGATCAAAATTTACAGAGGAACTATAAAAGTCTTGGAGGCAAACACGAGAGGAATTGAATGAAGAAGGGCCAATCTCCAGCGTCATGTAATCGTAATAGAGACTCATGAATCTTGTTTGAGGATTTCTGTCGAGCAGCTTCTCAAAATTTTCTATTACCAATGGGTTCATTACTTCACAACGGATAAGAAACCGGAAGGACAGTTCCGCGAAACGATCTGTCAGTGGGAGAACACCCGCGAGTACTTCGAGGCTCATCGTATGCGTCGAGTGCATACAGCCAAGCGCGATTCGGAGGCAACGGTATTGAACCCGTTGCAGCTTCAGGATATGTGTTTTCGCCGCGGATTGAAAACAGAAGCTACCGTACTCTAGAACCGACAAGATGGTTGTTCGATACAACCTGATCAGATCTTCCGGGTGTGCTCCCCACCAAGTTCCGGTAATTGTACGAAGAAAATTGATTCTTTGTTGGCATTTTTGTTTCACATACGCAATATGTTTTCCCCATGTGCATTTGGAATCGAACCAGACACCTAAATACTTGAAAGATATACTTTGAGTGATTGTTCTACCCTTTAGTTGAAGCTGTAACTGTGCAGGATGATGCTTCCTAAAAAAAACAACCAACTCAGTTTTCTCCAGAGAGAATTCGATACCCAGCTTCATAGCCCGAGTAGACAAATTGTCTAAGGTATCTTGCAATGGTCCTTGCAGGTCCGGTGCACTTGGCCCTATAACGGACACAACCCCGTCATCTGCAAGCTGCCTTACCGAGCAATTTTCATCAAGACAACCATCAATGTCTTTTACATAAAAATTATAAAGAAGGGGGCTTAAACATGAGCCCTGGGGGAGACCCATGTAACTAATTCGTGAAGTTGTCGAGTTTCCATGAGAAAAGCTCATATATTTCTCAGACAACAAGTTGCTCAAATAGTTGTTCATAATTGGTGAAAGCCCACTATCGTGGAGTTTATCCGAAAGGACATCGATACAAACAGAATCAAAAGCCCCCTTAATGTCCAAGAAAACTGAACGCATTTGCTGTTTTTGCGCATAGGCCAGTTGAATTTCAGTTGAAAGCAACGCAAGACAGTCGCTCGTTCCTTTGCCTCTCCGAAATCCAAATTGCGTATCTGAAAGTAAACCATTCGACTCGAACCATTTGTCTAGACGAAAAAGAATCATTTTCTCCAACAATTTCCGTATACAGGACAGCATCGCGATGGGACGATACGAGTTATAATCCGACGCGGGTTTACCGGGTTTTCGAATGGCGATAACTCTTACTTGCCTCCAGTCATCCGGAACAATGTTGTGCTCCAGAAATTGATTGAATAAGTTCAACAAGCGTCTCTTCGTGACGTCTGGGAGATTTTTGAGCAAGTTGAACTTGATTCTATCCATTCCTGGAGCTGAGTTGTTACATGAAAGGAGAGCAAGTGAGAATTCCACCATCGAAAACGGGGAATCTATTTCGTTATTACTCGACGGACGATCACGAACGTTGGTTTGAACCGACACCGAATCCGAGCAAACTTTCCGCGCGAAGCTGAATATCCAACTGTCCGAGTACTCCTTGTCTTCGTTAATCGGTGATGACGCGTTTCGCATTCTCCTGCCGACATTCCAGAGTGTTCTCATGGAAGTCTCTCGCGACAAACCATCGACGAACCGACGCCAGTAACCGCGTTTTTTGGCTTTAGTCCTTAAAGGTTTTCTCGAGGTCGGTGTACC